TCTGAATCATGCACATTCCGCAATTGTGTTTTCGGCGCCTTCGCCAGCTCTCGAATTCCCCTTCAACATTCGCCTCCAGTTCCGGCCCAGCGCTCACACCGTTAAGTCAGTAATGGCAAAATGTACATTTGGGATAAATCTATTTTACCTCACGCTTGCTTTTACATTCAGCTGATCTCTTTCACATGTGCGAGTCAATACGTATTTTTATCGGTTTTATGGAGAGCCAGAAGTCACGCAATCGTTATTATCGGAGCAATAAAACACTTTTTGTAGCATTTTGCTGATTTTTGGTCGCGAGTTTCATTTAAACTTCCATCGGTTAGATAAGCACCTACGAGCGAGCTGAATTATGTAATTCTGTTTGTCATTTATCAGAGTGCTATGCTAAGTGGCGGAGGACGGTTGGAAATGGCCGACTTTTTTACGCTTATTTAGTCAGTGTATATGATTTTTTCATTAACGTAATGTGTCTGTGTGTTTATCTATATACGTGTAAGCATACACGCACGCATGCGTATGAGCAACACACACATATACACATATTTATATTTATATACATATACATGTGTATTATAATGGTGTGTGTGTGTGTGTGTGTGTGTGTGTGTGTGTGTGTGTGTGTGTGTGTGTGTGTGTGTGTGTGTGTGTGTGTGTGTGTGTGTGTGTGTGTGTGCTTTACCATCAGAGAACAAGATCTTAGCAATAAGAATATTAAAACAAGAATTAATGAGACCGACAGTTTTGATAACACCGATGGTGATTAGAAACAAAGTGATGATTTTATAAATGAGAAAGCTATGCTAATGAAAATCATAATGGCTGTTATGATGATACTAATACTACCAATATCAATAATGATAATGATATTGATAATAATCATCAGTAATCATGCAATCAATATGAACAATCATGATAACAACAATGGCAATAATGATAATAACAAGAAAACCAAAAGCAACAGTGGCCTTATAATAACTATAATAACAATGATAATAATAATATCATATTTAAGATACACCATTACCAAAACCAACAACAACAAATGAAATAAAAACCTCACTCCAAAGAGCACTTCCCGCACAAAAACAAATAAAAAAAAATCCTCGAAAATTTCCGTCCAGTCCCCTCCTTCCTCGTGGACTCGAGACAGGCGCCTTTCCAAAACGCTCAAACATGAAACAAGTATTAGGCATTTTCCCACGCCACGGCAGCGCACCAGAGTCATAACAACACAAAAAAGAGATCGATACTTGGCGGCAAATTGTCCCCCAGCCGCCATTAATATACAACTTCCGTCTTTATTTGGCGAAAAATCTTCCGGTGGGCAAGTGGATGCTGAGTTGCCAGTTCATCTTTTTTCTTGTTTGTTATTTTGATTGTTTAGGTTTGGTCTTTCTTGTGGTGGGGAGATCTTGGTGTTTTCGAGATGCTGCAGTTTTCTTCCGTGTTGGCTTTGGCGAATGGGGAAGGAGTTAAGAGTGGAGTAAATGCATCGATAGGTCTAATTATTCATGACGGCATCATTCATGACGTCACTTCCCCTCCAAGTCACGTGACTCTCGCGTGTCGGCGGTCAGTCCCGAAGATTGTCACTTGTTTTGCATGAATGGGCCATCAATCAGCTGTTTGCGGCTAACGCGTTTACTTATCATCAATTGTGGTCGAATTTCCCATAACCGTTTTGTGGCGATGAATAAATTGGTCGGCGGCGGCAATTACTCCCAAGGGTCGCCGCTTAGACTCCCGCCATTTCCAAAGGGGATACGAGCACACGGTAATAAGGAATATTAGTCTCTGAATCATTTCGAATGAAGTGGGGGCACTCAATAAATAAATGCCATTGTGGTTAGCGTAACAGGTAATTTACGCCGCATGGGAGTGTAAACAAGGGATGAGAAGCTGCCGCCGTCGTGTACACATAGCAAAGGGCTTTTTGCCATAAGTCAACGGATTACGGAATAGAGAATTAATGGTCTCTTTTTAAGCGTGTTATCCTTAAGTGGCTTAATCTATGCAGCCGATGTTTGACTTTCACGCTGCCTAACTGTATTCCAAAAACTGCAAAGAAAAAACTGTGGGAATTCTACCTAAAAAGAAAATCGGCAATGATTTAGGTTAGTGAATAGCGAACGACGCGTTCGAATAAACTGGAATAGTTCACGGTGCTCGATGTCATTCAGAAGGGAAAATAAATATACATAGTGAATGAGGAGTTAACAGTTGGACAAACAGATACAAATGCGGTATTGGAGTTTTCCTTGTCGTTTTATGTGGGAAAATATAAGCTCTCAATTGATGCAGGCGGCGAGAAACCAGCGCGTGTTGCTTATATTTACATGCAATGTATTATTGAGCAAGATATACGTGATAGATATATATACATATAATCGTATTGATGAATATGTACATGAATATCATGTTTATATATACATATACTTATATATATATATATATATATATATATATATATATATATATATATATATATATATATGTGTGTGTGTGTGTGTGTGTGTGTGTGTGTGTGTGTGTGTGTGTGTGTGTGTGTGTGTACATGCACGCACGCAACAACAATATATATATGTGTGTGTGTGTGCATAATATATATATATATATATATATATATATATATATATATATATATATATATATATATATATATATATATATATATATTATGTATGTATGTATGTATGCACACACACACACACACACACACACACACACACACACACACACACACTATATATATATATATATATATATATATATATATCATACATATACACGCATCGGGTCCCTGGCATTCCTCCTTCCTCGTCGTCGTCTTGCCTCCAGTCCTCGTCGAAGCCATTCCTTCCCTTTCCTGCCTTTGCGAAATCTTGCATGAGAGACGTCCCTGGCGTGTGGCTGGAAGACAGACAGACGGAATCCAGACCTCTCGCCAGACAGACAGAAATTGGCTGCCGCCGGTTGTAAGATTATCAAGGGAGATGATATGTTGGTAATTATTATTACTATTACTGTTGTTATTATCATTATCATCATCATTATTATTGTTATTATCATTGTTATTGTTATTATTAATATTATTATTATTATCATTATTATTATTATTATTATTATTATTATTATTATCATTATCATTATATTATTATATATTTTTGTTATCATCATTACCATTATTATTCTTGTTGTTATTATTATCAACATTATTATTATCATCATTATTATGATTGTTATTATTATCACCTTTATCATCGTTATCATCAATCATCACCATTATCAAACATCATTAATATCATTAGCATTATTATCATTACTCTCATTATCATTAATACAGCTTTATCACTGTCATCATTATAGCCGTAGAAAAGATAAAGAAAAACGGATATTACTGAAAGAACGCATTCGGACACCGCCGTTTCGTTCCCATCTCGCATGTGTTCGTATCCCTCGTTTCTGCAATATTTCACCTTCTTCTTTTCTTTATGCTTCGTTATAGGCTGCCAAACATTTCCCTCCACTCCATCTTTTATCGGTGGCGTGTGGAGATGCAGAGATTAAGAGGTCAAAAGTTAAACGAGAGACAAAATTATTTATAATGAAGAGAAGGATTTGCATTAGCAGCTGTGAGTCATGTTATTAATCATAGTGACAGTTGTTGTGCAAATTTACATTTTTATTGGTCGATGAATTTTTGTTTTTCTTTCTTTTTTCTTTTTTCTTTAAACAAAATAATGATATGCGGAATGTCGTTACTGTTGAACCTATTAGGCAAATGGTATTTTAGACATTAAGTCAGTGATAGCAGAGCAGATAGTACAAATGTTTTAGCACCTAGAACTAAAACGAAGAGGGAAATAGTGCTTTCAGTACAATAAAAGATGAAATCGGTTCTTCTTATTCTCATAACCCTAAAATGCCGTTCGCATAACAAGCGGATTCATCACTGGATTCACCCGCGAAGTGTAAACAAACACGAGACGAAGATATTTACTTGTCATGAAAACTGTATCATCTTATTTTCATTTGATGATAAAAAAAACTTCTTATCCCATTTTTAAAGAATGAATATAATATGACGTTGCAATTTATCAGCAAATGGCATTGTTATCTTGAATGAATACTTGATGTATATGATAATTCTGACAATAAATAAATCGGAGGTATAGCTCGTATATCTTGACACATCTTTATGTCCTAATTGCAAGTATAGAATTATTCTTATCATTATGCGTTTCACAATTATCATTAACAGGTTTTTACTAATATCAAAATTATCATTATTATCCTTGTCAGTGTTACTTTTATCTTTATTATCATTTTCACTTTAGTTGTGCGGTTATTGTGACCATCTTTCTTAATATTTTCACACTGAAAAGATACCAATGTAATCGACTATAATTTTAGAATATGTTGATGAGTGTCACTGTAAATTGAAGATTAGAAAAGGATCTAACAATATCTTTTATCAGCAATTATCGCCATCATTATAGTGGATTGGCAATATAATCTTACGTTTTATCTAGCACTATCGCGATGAAGATTTGACAGTAATTACCGTGCACTTTGCCAAAAATTTCTTTGGTCGGTAGAAGCATGAAAAAAAGAAAGACCGAAGAAATAGATTAAAAAAGGAAAAGGGAAATACAAACAATACCATTTCATATTTATTTTTCTTTCTCTCCTTACGTCACAACTTTTCTCTTCAACTCTCCGTTTCTTCCTCCTTTCCTATTTTCGATCCTTCCCTTCTCCTATCTTTTTCCTTTCTCTCCTCCCCTTCTTCCGTCTTCCTCCTTCCAATCCCCTTTTACCTTCTCTTTCTTTCTCTTTCCCTCCATTCCTCCTACCATTCCTCTTCTACCTTTCTCTCTCTCTCTCTCCTCCGTCTCTCCCAAGCTTCTCCGTCTTCCTTCCTCCTCCTTCTACGCAGCTCTCCCTTCTCCCTACCTCCTCCCCTCCCCTTTACTCCCCACTTGCTTCCCCCTCCC